TCTCCCAGGGCTGCTGTGAGGATCAAATGAGACAATGTTTATAAAGCACTGTCTTAGCATATTGCCTGGCATGTAGTAGGTGCTATATAAATGTTAGTTATTATTATTGTCATTATTATCCATCAGCTCTTCCTGCTTTATAGCAAAGAAAGGCATGCTTCATCATCTCCAGAGTGCTCAAGTCTTTCAGCATTGATAGAGTCATACTTGGCCAGCCAAAAGCGGCTTCTTTGTCCTCAAAGATCTGGAGCGCTGACATAGTTAGTACCCACAGTTGGCAGAAAGTAGACAGAGCATTTCAGCGCGGTCAATGCTGCAGTTAGAATCACATTTCAGAGCTGGAAAGGACCCGAGGGGTCCAACCAGTTCAACCCACATGTGACCAAGGGTTCCTCTTGCTAACTCCCTGCCCAGCTGGCAGACCTCCAAGGATGGGAAAGCCCCTTGGGGCAGCTTATCCCACTTGGGGACAGCACTAATTGTTAGCAAGTTTTTCTTGCTATCAGGGCTAAATTTGGCTGTGGACCCAAGGCTTCTGGTTCTGCCCACATGGGAGCCAAAGAGAACAAAGCTTCCTTCAAGTGACTGCCCTTCAAATATTGGAAGACACCTATCTCTTGAAGGGCAGCTAGGTGGTGCAGTGGATAGAGTGGCTGGCTCTGGAGTTAGGAGGACCTGAATTCAAATCTGGCCTCAGACATTTATTAGCTGTGTGACCCTGGGCAAGTCACTTCACCCTGTTTGCCTCAGTTTCATCTGTAAAATGAGCTGGAGAAAGAAATGGCAAACCACTCCAGTATCTTTGCCAAGAAGACCCCAAATGGGGTCAAGAAGAGTCAGACATGACTGAAAACAACTCAACAAAAATCTCTTGAATATTTCTTTTCTTTTCTAAGCTAAACATCCACAACTCATTCAACCAATCCTTATCCAACATATGGGTGCATGTCATATATGCCCAGTAGAAAGGAAGCTCCTTGAGGGCAGGTACTGCCTTGTTTTGTCTTTGTATCTTCAGTCCCCAGCAGCTGTCCTGATCTATATCTGGCTGAAGAGGTCTAGAGGCTTAGGGGTGCTGGAACCCCAAAATCACAACATGTGGGTCCTGCCCAAAAGAATTCAACCCAAGCCTTGTTTCAGCCAGAGACAAGGTTTATTAAAGATTTGCCATATGAGCCAGACTCTTAAGGAATCTGGGCATCTGTGAGATATTGGCTAGACTGTAAGAACCTGAGCACCTTAATGGAGACAAGATGGACCTTATATACAGGAATACTATGGGAGGGATCTAAGAGTGGCCAAGTGGTCTACCAGGTAATAGAACTGCAGGGATCTGGACCACGTGGCCAAGGAAGAATGGAGCCTAGGTAGGATTAAGGGGGGGGGGGGAAGTGGCCTGAGGCCATAGGGAGGTAAAACAATGGTGGGCTAGACTAGGTTAAGGGTAACAGAATTGGGAGATCGAGTGTAGCCACAGTGAAAGGCCAGTGGATATTATAGCCTCAGGCAAATGCCAGAGATTTTGCCAAGTGGGAAAATCCTGGGTTTTTCCTTTTTGGGGTCTAGATCCCTCATCCTCATCAAAATGACTTGCCCAGGGTCACACAGCTAGTAAGTGTCGGAGGTCAGGCCCTCCTGACTTCAGGGCCGGTGCTTTATCCACTTTACCACCTAGCTACCCCTCTTCCATTAGATTGTGAACTCCTTGAGGGCAGGGACTGCCTTTTGCCCATTTTTGTATCCACAGAGGTTAACATAGTGCCTGGTGCATAGTGGGCACTTAATCAATGTCTATTGATTAATTGATTGATAGACTGGAAATTCTTTGAAGTCAAAGATATTTCAATTTTTGTCTTATATCCCCAGCCCATTTCATACTGCCTGGCACATAGTAAATACTTAACAAACGCTTAGTGACTGACTGACTGATTGGGGGACTCTACATGGCCCCCCGGGGAGGAGATGTGGAGCCTTAGCTTGAAGACCTCCAGGGAGGGGGAATCCACCCCCTTTAGGGGCAGCCCAAACCACTTTGTGATTCCCCTAGGATGAGTTTTCTCTATTCCTACCACCAGGACCTATTGAAAGAGAACTTGGATGTAACCTAACCTCTACAATTGCACGCATGTTTAATGCTAGGACATTTTCTTCCTTACGGCCTACCTATGTGTATATTGTGATAAGTCAAGCTTAGCATCTTTGAGATAAGACCCAAAGCCTTCAGACCTTGCCTTAGCACACAACTGTCTTCTCCAGGCTCTGTATTGATGCAATCTGTTACCATACTGCATCCCATTCTGGTTGCCAGGAGGGAAGTTAACCAGGGGTAATCTGGATAACAAGATAAGGTGTTGGATTTGGAGTTCAAATTTTGCCTTTGACATTGGCTGCCTTGTCAGGTCAGGGACTCAGTTTCCTCATCTGTGAAATGGGGTAATATTTGAACTGATCCTTAATCCAGTTGTTTTGAGACTCAAATGAAATCATGTGTATAGGATGCTTCGAAAGCTTTAAGGGGTTGTATAAAGGTCAGTTATTATGATTGGTTTCCAAGCTTTGAGGCGCTGCTCAGGGAAATATAAAGGCTTCTGGGTCTGTTGTGTGGAGAATGGATTACAGCAGGATTCCCAACCAGCTGTTGCATCTAGAGCTGAAGCAGGCAAGGCAGAAGGAATGCTTTATGAATACATCCGAGAACAGCAGCAAAGAGCATAGTGGAGTTAATCGTGGGCAGCTGGGAAACAACAGCCACAGACAGGCTACTCTGATGAGCAGCTGCAATTTCATTCAGATCAATTTTCTGTCAAAGAAGGCCAGATGAAAAACAATGCTGTGCTCTCCAAAGTGGCTGTAATGGAAAGCCAAAGCAGGGGAAACATTCACGAAAAGCTCCGCATTTTCAGAGTTTGAGATCTGTGTTCAAACATAGGATCTTCCACATTCTACATGTTATGATACTGGGTTAATTTCTGGGGCAGCTAGGTGGCACAATGGATAGAGTGCCTGGCCTGTAGTCAGCTTCATGGTTCAAATCTGGCCTCCTACACTTAGTAGCTGTGTGACCCTGGGCAAGTCACTTAACCCAGGTTTCCTCAGTTTCCTCATCTGTAAAATGAGCTGGAGAAGGAAATGGTAAACCACTCCAATATCTCTGCCAAGAAAACCCTAAATAGGACCACCGTCAGACACCACTAAAAAATGACAACAACCAAAAGTCAATTTTCATCCCCCCATATTAAACAACAAAAATAAAAAGTCCATTTTCACTCCCTCACAACTAAACAACAACAAAAAATCAATTTCCCACTAAAGTCAATTTCCCACTAAAGTCAATTTCCATCCCCTGGGGACTAAACAACAAAAAAGTCCATTTCCTTCCAGGCCTGACTAAACAACAATGAAAAGTCAATTCTCATCTCTTCCCCACTAAATAAGTCAATTTCCATCCCTTCAGGACTAAACAACAAGCAGAAGAAGAAATCAATTTCTACCCCTCCCCCAGACTAAACAACAATAACAAGTCAATTTCTAACACCTCCCCCAAGACTAAACAACAAGAAGTCAATTTCTACCCCCCCCCCCACACCCCATCCCCAAACAAGAAGAACAAGTCAATTTCCACGACTTTACACCCTTAAGTGGCTGTGGGTTCCTTTGTAATGGGAGGAAGTTGGGCTCTTTAGCCTACGATTCAGAAGGCTGTGCTTCACGTCTCTACCCACTCCAGTTCATCCTGTATTCAGTCACCAAAGTGATTTTCCTAGAACACAAGTCTGATCCTGTAACAGCCCACCTCCCCTAAACTCCAATGGCTCCCTGTTGCCTCCAGGATCTAATACAAAATGCTCTGTTTGGCATTCAATGCCCTTCACAATCTACCTTTCCAGTCTTCTCACACCTGACTTCCCCACAGTACTGGATGCAGTACTCTAGGATGCAGCCTTGGATGCAGGCTGACACTGGCCTCCTGGCTGTTCCGCAAACACACTCTCTCTACCTCTAAGCTCCTGGCATTTTCTCTGGCTGTCCTCCCTGCCTGAAATGCTCTCGCCACTCGTTTCCACCTCCTGCCTTCCCTGACTTCCTTTAAATCCCAACTAAAATTCTACCTTCTACAGGAAGCCTTTCCCACCCCTCTTAATTCCAGTGCTTTCCTCCTTTTAATGATTTCCTATTTATCCTGTACTTAGCTTGCTTTGTATATATTTGTTTGCTTGTTGTCTCCCTCGTTAGATTGTAAGTTCCTTGAGGGCAGGAACTGTTTTGCTTCTCGTTACATCCCCAAGGCCTTAACAAAAGTTTTATCAATTGATTAATTAAATGCTTGCTACTTGACTTCCTGTCTGGGGAGTTAACCATCCACATCGCTAATCTAGTGGTAGAAGTGACTTCCCCTTTTAATTTAAAAATTTCCCCCTGTTCGAAGGCAAAGAGACTCTTAGCCAATCACAGAAGAATCCGCCCTTCCCCAATATGGCCGCCGGGGCGTCAGGAGCTGGGGCGGGGCCAAAGGTTGCTTGAATGGCTTTACCCGTTTCCTTCTCCCCACCCCCTCCAATGCCGAGCCAATGGAAAAGTCCGAGTTGTGGACGAGACTAACAGGGGCGCTCGGGGCTGGGGGGATGTCTGGAGGCGCTAGTGAAGAGGAGTTTGTGCTTCAAGCCTCCGTGCCCCGAGGAGGCCACCGACCACGCCGGTGGGATTTGGGGGCCTCCTCAGCTCACCGTCGGGCGCCGGAGCGCCCCGGGCGGCCCCAGTTCGCGCAGCCGCAGGTCGAGTCCCCCCCCCCGGTCCTGTCCGAGATGGTTTGGCCCACCCTTCCCTGTTTGGGACAGTTCGGGCGGAGAAGTCGCGGGCGGAGTGCTCCGGCATCGGGGCGGAGGCGAGCGGGGCGGTTAGCGGCCGAGGCCGGGGACGGCGGGCGAGCGGACCGGGGAGCCGAAGGCCGGGGGCCGGAGAGCCGGGAGCCGGGAGCCGGGAGCCGAGGGTCGGGCCGGGCCCGCCGTCCCCTGCGCCACTCGGGGCCCCCTAGGGCCGGCGGGGGCCTCAGCATGTCCTGTGGCGGTGACGGCCCCAGCAGCCTCTTCCCCCTGCACGCCCTGGTCTGGAACAATGACTACCGGCAGCTGGAGAAGGAGCTGAACAGCCAGGTGAGCGGGCCGAGCTCGGGGGAAACTGAGGCCTGGACTGGGTTTGGGGTCAAGTGCGTCAGGGGACCTTGACTCCGTGGACGCGGAGGGAAAACTGAGTCCAGAGTGCGGCTAAGAGCTTGCAGGGTCACTGACTCCGTGGACCGGGGAGATCTGGGGTCGAGAGCTGCGGAGGACCCTGATTCCATGAATGCAGAGGGGAAACTCTGGGTCTGGGGTCAGGAGCTGCAGGGGACCCCAGTTCAATTGATGTAAGGGGGAAATTGAACCCCAGAGCAGGCCAGGTGGGGGGGCTGAGCTCACTGGTCGGGGCTGGGAGGCGAAACTGAGTCCCAGAGTGGCATGGGGTCCTGAGCTGCAGGGGACCCTAGCTGGGCCTGGGCGTGGGGTGGGGGGGGGCCTGAAGGGCAGGGAGGCCCTATGACTGGGCTAGAAGGAGTCTTAGAAACCTCTTGTCCGGCCCGTGTATGTGTCTAGGAGAGGCTCCCCAGAGGTGTCGGGATTGAGAGTAGACAGGGACCTTAGGGGCCATCTGGGCCAAGTACAGTCAATGAGCCTTTATTCAGCGCCTACAGTGTGCCAGGCACTGGGCTTGTGTCCGGGAACCAAAGAAAGGCAAGAGACAATTCCTGCCCGCGATGAGCTCATAATCCAACGGGAGAGACAGCGTGCAAGCCACTCTGGACAAACAAGCTGTGGACAGGCCGAACAGGCTAATTAGCTGGGGCAGGCTCTGGCATTAAGACAGATTAGGAGAGGCCTCCTGGAGAAGGTGGGACGGTAGCTGGAACTGGAAGGAAGTCAGGGGCCAGAGAAGGGGAGGGGGCTGTTCCAGGCAGGGGGGCAGCCGGGAGTGTCAGGGTGGGGGAACAGGTTAGGATGGGCTTTGACCTTCAGGGGATTTGTTTGTCGATAGCAAGCCACTGGAGTTTATGGAGTAGGGGTGAAATGGTTAGTTCTGTGCTTTAGGAAAATCACTTTGGTGGCTGAATGAGGGAGGGTGGACTAGAGTGGGGAGAGACTTGGGGCAGACCACCCCCTCCCCCCAGCAGTAGTCCAGGGGTGAGGGCCTGCACCAGGATGGAGGCTGGGTAGGAGGAGAGGAAGGAAGGAAGGTGTTTGTATTAGAGAGATGTTACAAAGGTGAAATGGACAGGCGTTGGCAACAGATTTGATTTAGGGGGTGAGAGAGGAGGAGTCCAGGGTGACACATGGCCTGGGGGTCTGGGGGACTGTACAGAAGGGGTCCTTGATGCTCAGAGGAGTCCTGGAAGGTTATTTGTTACTGCGAAGCCTTTCCTAACCATCGGAGCTGTCCAGAAGGGGGATGAGCTCGCTGCCTTGTCCCTGGAGGTCTCCCCGGGAAGGCTGAACTAGATATCTTCTGAACTCCTTGTAGCTCAGAGATTCTGTGGCTCTGGACCTGGGGCACCGCTGGTGGAACTGCTTCATGAATACCTTTGAGTTCATTCATTTCAAGCCCCTCACTTTAACAAACGAGGAAGTGGGCATAGCAGACCTTTGAAAGGCTTGTCCTGATCAGACTCCAAAGAGGACTTTGTTCTGTCTTTAATGCACTTACTTCAGCGTCATCTTTTGGATTATAATTGCAGGGTGGCTGGCTTTATCACCTTACTTGACTGCTTTGAGGTCAGGACCTGGCTCTTAACTTTTTGTCTCCTCCAGTGCCTGGCTTGGTGTATTCTGCTTAGGGAAATAATAGTAAGCCATATTTGTATAGTACATTCTTCTCAATAACCCAGTGTGAGATAGGTAGGGCCGTATTATTATCCCAGTTTTACCTGGGTGGAAATTGAGCCTCGGGGATGTGAATTGACTTTCCCTCAGTCACACAGCCCACATTCTGGGGGCTTAGGTTTGAACCCAGTGTTTTCTTTATACTGTCCCAGGCTGTCTCTCAGTGAGTATTAATGTTTTTTGTTGTGTTGTGTTGTTCAATTGTAAACACTCAGGGAGGGAGCAGTTCAGACCAGGATAGGACAGTTAGCTGTACCTTTGAAAACTGGGGCCTCTTACTATGGTGTGGGTCACTCCTTGGGGCAGAGGCAGGTGTGTCAGGGCACCTAAGGTACGTCCAAGGCAGCCTTAAGGTCGTCAGGAAAATGCAATGGGAAAGCACAAATGGTTTCCATTTGGTTGGCTGAAAAAATCCGCAGGCTGAGCATCACCCAGTTGAGTGAAAAGTTGCTGCCAAGCATGGGCCTTCCCCCTTGCCAGAAATCTGTCCACTGCAGTTCTCCTAAGACAGCCCACTGTCAAAACAGCCAGCATCCATTGAAAACCAGGTGCCTGTTTTCCCCACCAGCAACAATGGTTGGTCTTGTTTCCTGAATCTTCTCTGCCCAGACCGGCTGAATTTCTTTGTAAGGTTCATCCTTTTTAATTAGGCGATGCAGTCTCTGCAGAACAGCTGAGGAGATACTTTGACACATTCCCTGTGAAATGATTCACTAGTCCTGGACCTGCCAGCCTAGTCCACTGGCTATTCACCTCTCCGTTTCCTGCCCAACGCAGTTCATCCTTTTGGGCTCGGCTTTATTTCTAGGGCTGCATGATGGTGAACGTTGGTGTCTTTTGAAATATTCAGGTAGGAGTTGGTGGGGTCTTTTCTAGGGTAAATATTTGGAAGCTCTCAGCAGCCTGTTATTTCTGGCTGTGTATATGCAAGCGTGTGTGCGCTCCAGTATGTATGTGTATGTATGTATGTGTGGAGAGAGAGAGAGAGAGAGAGAGGAAGGGAGGGGGGCAGACAGAGAAGCAGAGAGAGAGTTGTGTGTGAGAGATGAGTGTGTGTGTGTATGTGTGTGTGTGTGAGAGAGAGAGAGAGAGGTGGGGTGTGTGTGAGTGTGTGAGAGAGAGAGGTGGGGTGTGTGTGTGTGTGTGTGAGAGTGTGTGAGAGAGAGAGGTGGGGGGGTGTCCATTTCCATGTCCATCTCTGTGTCTTTGTGCACATGCACAAAAAGAAAGTAGTCCCAGATCTGAAACCTACTTGGAGGAGTCAGGGAAACATGGCCCGCCATGTCTGCACACTAGCTCTTTGCCTCTGTCTCTAGCTGTTTCCTCCAAGCGCTGTTCTGCGCTGCCTCCTACGACTTTTCATGTTCCCCTGCCTTACAAGTACTCTTTTCCTCTTAAAATGATTTTGTGCAATGTCGCATATACTTTCTTTTTATGAACTTAAACACCACATTGAATGGGCATTTGCACATACATGGTAGAACAGAGAAAGACAATTGTGTGAAATGACAAGCCTCTAATGTGCTGCTGGCTTTTCTTTTTTCAGTCTATCTGAAAATCAGCCTTTGCTATACTTTATGGCTACTCATCTGTGTAGGTCCCAGAATGTCAGCACTCTGAGAAAAGGGGCCTTTTCATTTTGTTTTGTCTTTGTGTCTATCTCCAGTGCCCAGGAGCTTATGGAATAGGGATGAATTAAATTGTAACTTGGATATATTGTAGTACTTGGCATTTTAAAGTAAACAAATATCTTCCCAAGGCTATATTATATTCCCAGAATTCACTCTGGGTAAACAGTAGAATTAAGATACATTATAGTTCTTTGTTAAATCATAAATGAGACGAATGAACTGGGTCTTAACTTGTGATGGAAAATGTAGTTCAGCTGAAAAATCATGTTTTTTCTTTCTGTTGACAGTAAAATGAACTTTGTTCACTAAAAGTTCTTGGTGCCTCTTGACTTCAAATAGTCATCCATGTGGTCACAGAATTCAGATTTTACAATGGGTTATTTTCCTTGAGCAAATCCATTTGGCAGGCAGGCGGCAACCTTTATTAAGTAGCTGTTCAAAGTCAGGCATTGTGCTAAGGGCCAGTGCTGCAAAGAGAGGTGAAAGGCAGTCCCTGCTCTCCACGACATGTGACCGTCCAGGCGAAGAAGAAGGTGAAGACACGGGTGTACAAATAATCGATGGTCAGGATAGATTGAGGGAACAGTAGCCAGTGCTTGTGAACTAACTTCTCTAAGTGGTGAACCTGTCCACGATGCTGAGAACATTTTTTAGCTCTTTAGAATGGTTGGTCTTTCTAATTTCCTCCGCTCGAGGATTGCCAAGTTGTTCTTCCTTCAGTCTTGTTGCCAGATTTCCGTTGCCCAAGAGGGCAGCAGAGATGGCACAGAGGACGCTCACTTGGGACATGCTGAAATGGACCCTGGACCTAGAGAAGAGGAGGGGATGGTGGTGAATGTGAGGTCAGCAGGGAAGAGGGAAGAGGGATTCTGCTTGGCCCAGAAGACCAGGAGTGGAGGGAGTTACAGGTGGACATAGGCTTGAGGTTTCCGAGCTGTCTGAGCCGTCCAGAGAGGCCTGGGTGGTCATTTGTTGTGTAGAAGGGACTTGGGAGGTTTCTTCCAACTCAGGGAGTGTTCAGAGGAGTGGTGAAAGGCTGTGTGAGGCTTAACTTTGTGTTTGCCAGGATCCCCTTATCATTCTGCTCACAGTTTGAGGTTTAATGATGGCTTATTTGGAGTCACTCTGCGGTGGTGGTGATCAGTTTCTTAATTTGGAGTCTGATACTTTTCCTGTGCAAAGATTGTCTCAGTGGAAAGTACATGCCTGGGTCTTACCACCTTCTTGAGCTCAGACTACTAGGTAGTGAGTGCTTGGGATGCCATTCAGTAAAATCAGATGTTGCTTAGCTGTGTGAGCCTCAGGCTACTTATCTGTAAAATGGGGCTAGTAATATCCATAGCAGCTTTTCCAAAGGGTTGTTGTGAGGATCACATGACCTTATGGATATGAAAGGCAAACCCTCAAGGCCTCACTCAGGAGAGCCCGGAATCCTCCCTCTCGTCCTCATCGATTTAGAGCTGGGAGAGACTTTGAGATCATCATGACCTAATGGCCTGGAAGACTTGGCCAGGGCCTCTACCGTCCTTGGTTGCTCCTTTTGTAAAATGAGACTTTGGCTGAGATTATCTCTGAGCTCTCTTCCACATTTAGATCTTAGGAGTTGTTACA